TCCAGATGCTATAGACAAATTGCTCCCACTGTGTGTCAGAGGCTTTTGGCGATGTAAGGGTTCCTCTGAGGTATGTGAATTTATCTAAATCAAAAGTACCCTCTAGTGGGAATTGTTTAGATGGATTATCACACGTGCAAAAATTCCAATTTTCTAAATACCTGCAGGTTCTGGGACCATAATATACATACATGTAATATACTGGGGTACCCTTAGGGGGTGAGAGGGAATGCTTCAACTGTCCCTCACCCATTTTCCAATCACACAGGGAGGGCATCCTGTCTGCTAGCAGCTCATAAACTAAGTGTCTCATCCCACAGGGCACTCACACAGGAAAGATTAATGAGGATGGCCACGACCCTCCTACTCCTTTCAGCAAAGAGCATCGGCTAGTCTCAAAGAGATGGCGCCGCTTACTCTCATTGCTTCCAGTGAGCTGGTCAGATCTGTCAGTGGCTCATGCAGAGAGGAAAGGGGGAGGGAAGATGGGTTCACACAATCCTAGACCCAGGCAGGCCCCTCGCCGGACGATGCCAGGCAGAGACAGCCCACCTTGGGTCGGATCTTTTACTGATCTACTAGGTGGAGTCACCGGACTTGCGTTAGAGTATTTCTGGTCACAAGCCTATGACTTCGCAGAATACTCTGGGCGTCTTCCAGTGACTCTCATTCACACTGGTGTACACACACATTCACTAAGGCCTGTGTTTCTAAATACCACGATGCATCTGTACCTTATGTCCGGACTCAATACACTTTTCCCTTATCTGAGGCGGTCAAAACTCCTCTTGAGGTGGTAAAAACTGCTCAGCACCGGTGCATTAACCTAAAGCATTTCCCTTATGCATTAACCCTGTTGGGGGTGGCAAAACTAAGTCCCCAGCGCCACAACAAACTAACCTTACTGGGGGCGGCAAAACAGTTCCCCAGCACAGCTCTGCATCTGATCTTGCTGCACAGTCAATAAGTTCAGATGGCATAAGCCCAACAGGGACAGACGGCCCCACGGACAGTCCTCTTCTGACACCCCAATAGAGATTTCAGAAGGTCTCTTACCTCTATTGTGGTGCCATGGGGTTCGAAGGGGAACAATCTGCAGCAGCTGCCGTTGTCTCAGTAGGCGTTGTCATCCCAGACGAGCCCCCAAATTGTCAGAGAAAAACAGAGCTCTCACTCCTTTGGTTGTGTGCAGCAAGTCAGATACTTTATTATCTCTAGCAATTGCATGGAGGGAGAGAGCTAAACAGGTTTCTCCTCTGACAAACAATTACAGCAAGCACTTATACCTTTTGTCACAAACAATAATGGGCAACAGCTGCATTTTGTTTATACATAGGTCATCCTGATATCTAATTTTTCTCACCAATTTAAACTATAGTCTACATTCCATACTTATCTAACTCAAGGTTGCAACAACTTCTCACACAGTTCTTTCCCACTCGCCTCACACAATCCTCGCTTCTACAAATCTCGCGGTATTATGGTTACAGTTTAACCCAGGGGATGGCAACGTTTGGCACGCGGCTCGCCAGGGTAAGCACCCTGGCGGGCTGGGCCAGTTTTATTTACCTGCTGACGCGGCAGGTTCGGCCAATTGCGGCCCCCACTGGCCGCGGTTCGCCGTCCCGGGCCAATGGGGGCGGCCAGAAGCCACAGCCAGCACATCGCTCACCCGCGCCGCTTCCCGCCACC